CAAACCACCTTTACCCCGTCAAAGATCCATAATATTGCCCTTGAGTTTTAGTTTACAATTTGACCTCGGCGCTTGTAGCATCGTTTCAAATGAGCACTCAAGTTGCAACTGATGATGTAAGAGTTGTCAGTAAGTGAGGAGCAAAAACAGACAGAATGCCAATAGTGCGAAAAGATAATTGCAAGTAAGTAGAAGGAAAATTCTGTGACTATGAAAATCATACAAAATTATGTCATAATAAACTCATCATTAGAGTCTCACAGCGAAGGATACCGTCTTATTAGCAGACGGCTTTCGATATGATTAAGATAGTAATAATCATGTTTGTAGCTGATGCACATTTGGGATCTTTGTTCATAACCCGCAATTCTTAAAGTTTTGAATTTCACTGGCAGTTTCTGTTACTGCTACTTGTAGCATAAACAACCACCTAATACCAAATCTGGTCCTCATTTTTCTAGACTTACTTGTGATAAAACGTAGTGGTGTCAACTTGATAACATCTGTGGACCATGCCATTCATAAGCAGATCTCGTCCAAGATCTAAGAACAAGCCGTCATCGACACAGCCTAAAAATAAGGAGAATTAAGATGCATAGCTCACGTAAGGCAAGTTAAAGAATTATGATGAATGGTCTACCCAGGACATCCAATGATCCGTCATTCTTGCATTGGTACCGTACGTGTTTGTCAGTGAATACCTGGGCGATATTGTAGTGTACACCATCACGAACGCATCCAATCACTGAAGTGCGTTTTTTCAATGAATTAATACTGAGTTATTCTAGAGTGTAAAAGTGTTTTCGAAACTTTACCGTACCCTTGACTTGGTAACGTACTCTACCATCGCCGAGAACCTCACATTCATGACGTTGGCGACCGACGATACGTGACTCGCCCGCCATGAGATATTCCCCCGAATTTTGCAGGTAACATCCTAAAACAAAAACATTTCGCTGCAACATATATGTTGATATGAACATTAACAAGAGTTCATCCTGGAGCCAGGAAATGGTTACAGCTATATTCAAAAACTGACGTAAGTTATAATTCGTGTAGTTGAGAACCACTAGGGAGAAAAAAGCATTAAATCATAAGTGTGAGGTTGATCTCATCACTATTCAGAATAGAGTCAAACTACATGCTGGATTGAGTGAGATGTGGAGACAAGTTGACGCATTTTCAAC